AGCTCACCTTTATTATCTATTACATCATCTGATGTAATCATACAATCTTACAATCTTGCAGGCATGCGTCTTGTTCTTTGAGGTCTGCTTGTACTTGGTATATCTACTGGTTCCTCTTGTAGAACTTCTCTTTCGACTTGATTTTATGGCTCTTCGAATAGGATTCCCACTGAATCTTTATTGACACTTTCAGTCCAATCCCATTCTTTAAATTCATCTATGATCACGTCCCTGCTGATCACAATCTTCTTGTTCTCTGGATCGAACAACTTGTAGCCTCCTGTCGAATGATATCCAACTAGAATCATTTAACTTGCCTTGTCATCAAGTTTTCTTCTCAACTGATCTGGCACATGTCTATGTGCAATAGATCCAAATACCTTCAGATGATTCAAGCTAGGCTTCACACCAGACCAACATTCTTCTTGAGTAATTCCTTCTAGCTTCTTTGTAGGACATCTGTTCAAAATGTATGTTGCAGTTGAAACAGCTTCACCCCAAAACTCTTTAGGTAAATTATTTCCTTTCAACATACTTCGTACCATATTCATGATGGTTCGATTCTTCCTTTCTGCAATTCCATTTTGTTGTAGAGTATAGTGTGGCACCACCTCATGCATAATCCCTTTCCTTTTAACATAGCCTTTCAAAATATTTCGACACATATTCTCCACCACCATCAGTTCTCAAAACTTTGAGTTTTCGACCACTTTGTCTTTTGACCATAAACTTAAACTTGGAAAATACCTCGATCACTTCACTTTTCTTCTTGATCAGATAAGTTCACAGCTTTCGAATGAAATCATCTATGAATGTAACAAAGTATTTTTTACCTCCCATCGAATCCACCTGGATTGGTCCACATACATCAGAGTATATGACTTCAAGAATAGCCTTCGACCTGCTTCCTGCATCCTTGCTGAAGCTATTCTTGTGTTGCTTCGCCTGCACACATTCCTCACATACCTCGTTTGGAATGTCGATTTCTGGTAATCCTGAAACCATATTTCTTCTCTTCAAATCTCTGATGTCTCTGAAGTTGAGATGGCTTAGTCTATAATGCCATATCCATTCATCTCTGCTAGCTGCAGTCGAAAGGCACTTGTGCTCCATCACATTAAGTTCAATCTTGAAGGTTCAATTCTGAGACATAGGAGCCTTCAAGATTAATCTCCTATTTGCATCAACGACTCTCATCATCTTATCTTTGATTGACACTTTATAATTCTTTTCGATCAACTGCCCTATACTGAGCAAATTGCTCTTCATGCCTGGTATGTACAACACATTGGAGATTACTGACCTTTTGCCATCTTTCCTCATAATCATAACATCACCAATACCTTCAGCTGCTAGGGTAATGTCATTTGCAAACTTTACCATATTTTTCATTGAGGGCTTTATATTGACAAACCAGTCTTTCCTTCCAGACATATATGATGAACATCCTGAATCCAAGTACCACTGGTCCTTGAATCTATCTTCATCTCTTTTTGTGACCATCAGCACCGTCTCTTCTTCTTATTCTTCATGTTTTGCAAGCTTTGCATCACTTTCTCGATTCTTTCGTTTTTATGGACAATCACTCGAATAATGACCATACTTCTGACAATTGTAACATTGAATGTGACTCTTATCAGGTTTTCAACCACCACCTCTTCCTCTATTTGGAACACCACCTTTATGGTTGCCTTGGTATGGTCTTCTTTGATTCGACACGTTTCCTTCAATTTGGTTTCCTCTACCATTCGATTTGTTGTAGCCACCTCTACCTCTAGCGAAACACTTTCCTTTGCCTTTGATCTCTTTTGCTGAATGTGCCTGCAAGGCCACATCACTCTTCGATTTTCCTGTAGCTCTTTCGTTCATTCTTTGTTCATGATATTCAAGCGTCCCTTGAAGCTCTTCCTTTGTCAATTTCGACAAGTCTTTCCCCTCTTCTATTGCCACCACTATGTGGTCTAACTTAGGAGCTAAAGATCTCAAGATCTTTGAAATAACAACTCTTGTTGTTAACGCTTCTCCATATATCTTGATTTGATTTACTAGTTTTGTAACTCTAGTGAAGAAATCAAATATGTTTTCACTGTCTTCCATCTGAAGTAGTTCATACGTCCTTTTGTGAGTTTGTAACCTCACTTCTTTCACCTTCTCAGCGCCTCCAAAAGACTTCTCAAGGATTTCCCAAGCTTCTTTTGCAGATTCTGAATCACTAACCTTTTTGAAATTGTCTGGGCTGACACATTGATGAATTATAAATAATGCTTTATAACTCAGCTTCTCAGATTATGTATATTTCTTCTTTTCTTCTTCTGAAGCGTTTTCTCCAAGCGCTTCGACTCCATCTTTTATAAGATCCCAAAGACCTTGACACTTGAATAAGACTTTCATCTGTTTGCACCAATTCTGAAAGTTGACAACTATGAGAATTGGTGAATTTCTACCACAATGACAATTTAATTATGAGACAAACAAAAAAAGAAGACAAGACAAATAATTTCTGCAGAGTTTCTCTCTGCTCACAAACTGTGAAAACTTTGTTATTCACTTGCAACTGCAAATTTTGTAAATACAACTTGCTTGACTTGCTTACAAAAATAGGGGTTACTCCCTCTATTTATAACTGAGCTTACACCCTAAGCCCAAAGCCCAAAAATATCTTTTTGTTACTAAATCAAATCTAATTTATTCTAGACTTAAATTAAATTTATTTAAATCTAAAACAAATCAAATCTTTTCGACACATAGTTTCGATACACTGGATTACAATTTAACAAAATTCTCCTTCAGGACAATTTTTAGATACTCCAATTAAAGAATTTTGTATTAAAAAATCATTTTTATATTCAATTTGAGAGACTATTATTTCTTCCATGTTTCTTTCAACCTTCCTCTTATTTAAAGATAGAAATAGATCAAACCGACTTACAAGAGTGTATGACTTAACCTATTTAATGTTAGGTCAGATTAGACTTTTTTAATAAAAATATCAAATTTATGTTTTTTTAAAAGTTTATTTAATTAAATAGATTAAACTTAAACTATTAAAAAAAATCTATGAAATCTTATAGGCCGGCTTATATATATATATATATATATATATATATATATATATATATATATATATATATATATATATATATATATATATATATATATATATATATATATATATATATATATATATATAAAAGACTAAATAGACCAACTTATATATGCATATATATTATAACAAAGACTTATATATGCATATATATTATAACAAAGACTAAATAGGTCGTCATATATATGTATATATAGTCTGACTTATAAAGTTTTTTAAGTCATATGGATTAATTGAAAACTTTAATGAGAAAAAAGATTTTAAATAGGCTTTTGGATCAGGTCATACTTTTAAAAAGGCTAGGCGAGAAGAAAAAAAAACCTATAATAAGTCATAGTTCTGACTCAAATCTATTAAATTTATCGTAAACCAGACTCAAGCCTTATAAAACTTAACTTAGCCTAACTTATTTTCACCTTTACTTTTATTCAAAGTTCTGATACTCATTCAATCAAAAAAAATTATCATACTCTTCAAACACACAAATAAAATTTGTAAATAAACAATTCAACTAATATTTAAATAGATTACTAAATTAAAAGGTCAATAAGACTAAATCTTTATTTGTATTGATTAATTCGAACTTATATAGTAACATAAATTTTGTAATACCATTTATTTAACCGAACTTATAAAAACAATTTATGAAATTGTTCATACGATTTTTTTCTTATTTTTATAAAATTTTCAAAATATATAAGATTTCTTTTTGCATTTTAATTTCAAAATGCAAAATACAATATAATAATACTATAATTATTTATATTTATCTAAATAGATCAATCTAATAAACTTAAAAACTTTTTAATAATATATAACCTAATCTTTTTAATTAAATACACTTATAAAAAAATCAAAATATTTTCTATTTAAAATAATTGACTTGACCAAAAATTGTGGCCATATCCGAGTACATTATATAAATGTTCAAGATATGAAAATTTGTAAAAGATATCTTGACTGCAGAAATTTACACCTACAACTAATACTCTGTTCACAACTAAGTAAACAGTATTTTTATTATTATTTTAACATTTTAATATTTTTTCTATTTTTTTAAAAATTATTTTAGTTAATAAAATATTAAAACTTGATTAATTGAGTTTAAAGTTTGATTCACAACTAAGTAAACAGTATTTTTATTATTATTTTAACATTTTAATATTTTTTCTATTTTTTTAAAAATTATTTTAATTAATAAAATATTAAAACTTGATTAATTGAGTTTAAAGTTTGATTTATATATATATATATATATATATATATATATATATATATATATATATATATATATATATATATATATATATATATATATATATATATATATATATATATATATATATATATATATATATATATATATATATATATATATATATATATATATATATATATATATATATATATATATATATATATATATATATATATATATATATATATATAGATAGATAGACATAAAAAAAGTTAATATATATACTGTTCAGACTTTAATTAATAATTTATATAAAATAAATTCACAAACATAAAAAATATTAAATTAATAAAATAAAATTAGTTAATAGAATATAAAAATTGATTAATATATTTATAATTTAGTCGCAGAACATGGTTAATACTATGTATTTTATTGGTTAATAAAATACTGAAAATGATTAATTAATTATAATTAAAATAATTAGTTAATGACGTATATTTTTGTGGCTAATACAAAGTTGAGTAATGACACAATCATATATCTGTATTATAAAATAAGTTTTAAAAATAAATATTTTTTAAAATAAATATTATTTTAAATATAATATTATTTTAACAGTGTATACAGTGAAAATATTTGGTGTCGAAACGAGTGTCATGGTAGCTATGATGTTACTCAAATAGTAGTGCTTGGTTTATGCTGTTATCATTCAAAGCTCAAAGTGAATCTAACATCAACAAGAATTGCCAACATGAAATGGAAGAAAAAATAAAATACACAAATGACAAAAATAGATTACCTATGAGACCATTCTTCATACTATACATACATAGTTACATACCGATGTTAGCTTTTTATGGTGATTATTGTGAGTGCACATCTCATGCACCTTTTATGTTTCAATTATTTAATTTCCCTACTTTAGGATAAGGATCCTTGTAGCACTATTTTTCAGTATCGGATATATACTATATAGTCCCCTTTTTACTAACTTTAGTTAGTGATATCATATCATATCCCATCTTTTGTATCTTTATCTTTTGACTTTGCTACCATCTACTAAGCTGAAATCCATTTCATTCTCACATAACCCAATTTTCTCTCATAATGAAAGATTTTCATGGGTTTACATCCAGCTTTGGAGAACAATATGTAACAGCCTCTGCAACAGTGAGGAAAATCTTGTCCTGTCCAATTATGTTAGCAAAATTTGATGTGTAAAGTTTGTCTGTCACTGCTGAACCAGGATTTGCCAGAACAAGCTGCTCAAATAAGTAACACAATATTGGTAAGAAAATTATTAACATGTTTTGTCCTATGATATATAGTAACATCATTTTCATGCATCATTAATTTGATATAACTTACTTGAACACTTTTTTTTTCAAGACTTCTATGTAACTCTTCAAAGGCTTGGATGCCACTTGTATCAATATCAGTCACAGCTGCAATAAAATCATAAAATTTAGTCTACAAAACAACATGAAAATGATGTTTTTACTATTAGAATATGAGGCTTAAACCTCTCCGCACCAACACCTTTGAAAAAAACATGCATGTCCGTCTCTGTGTCTGTGTCGGACACCAATACATGATTATATTTTATTTATTAATTTTTTTCAAAGTGTTACTGATGTCTCCGTGCCAGTGTCATTTTAGGGTGTCAGTACTTCGTAGACTAAAACAAGTTAAGGACAAAAATTAGAGACTAACGTGACATTTCAACTATCAAAAACTGAATTCTTGTGTGGTAGTCTCCTTTCACTGTTTCTTCATCCGTTAACCATCTTAATATCCTGCAACAGAATACAAAATCTTAAGTCTCAAGAAACTGTTGTTAAGTGATTCTTCTTATAGTTGAAGTTACTTATTCTATACCTTTCTTTAACATAGTTGGAGTTGGAAAAATATATTGCCGAATCAACTCTTACAATCATTACACCTGGAATCTTACTAGCTTCTGGATATTGTTGTATGTTTCTATAGACAGTTGTCCGAGGAATCTTCCCCAAAATAGCTGTTCTTGGCCTTGTTACTTGTAATAGGATTTTCGCAAAAGATATAGAAACCTGCCATAAAGGGTTGAGATAATAAGGTTTCATGTTTTCTGCATTTTAATTGCTACAATATTATATGTTTACTTAGCAATGTGATTGTTAAAGAGTCCCACGTCAGATAAGTTAGTTTTGTAGGATTGAGTTAGACCCAACCACAATTTTTAATATGATGTTAGAGCTTGGTTTTTAAGATCCATTGGACCATCTGCTATCAGGTTTCCGCTTTCAAACCACCTACCATTTATTTCCATGCTCCAGATGTCCCCTCTTGGACATGAGGCAGTTCATAAGAATGAGTTATGCCATATGGTATCGGATCCTATTGATTGGATCATGGACCACCAATCACTTATATCCATACACTAAGCCTAAAAATAAGTTACGTCCAACCAAGTTTCTTAAGTCATAAACTATAATGAAGTATAAAGACTCATAGCTTAAGCTATGAGGCAATACTAAGACAATTTAGAGGATAGGATAAGTAAGTTTTGGTACTTACAGCGATCAGAAGTCCTATCTCAACCGAGACGAAAACAACCCCAAAGAATGCTCCCATGCAAGCAATGAAATCGAATTTATCGATTTTCCAAATCAAAATTGCTGCCTGATAGTCAATAAGGCTGATGACAGCAGAAATGATGATGGCAGCAAGAATGGCATTTGGAGTGTACTTAAAAAGAGGAGTAAGGAATTGCAGCGTTAAAAAAACAACCACGGACATCACAATATTAGATACCGCAGTTTGGCAGCCAGCCATGTAATTTACCGCAGAACGAGAGAAAGAACCTGAAAAGAAAATAGATCAGAAGCTTATAAAATTCGTATAAATCGTAAATTTAGTTCATAAAAATTGTAACAGTTATAAATTTATGATCTTACCAGTTGCCACATAGCATGAAGTCATCGAGCCAACAACATTCATTGTTCCTAATGCAACCATTTCTCTGTTTCCATCGAGTTGATAGTCTTTCATAGATGCAAAAGTTCTTCCAATAGCTATGGCTTCCTGAAAACCAAAACGCAACCGTTTAATTTGAAATGTCGTAGTAAGTAATGGAAGAAATAGTCATTTCGAGAGATACTAGTGCTAGTTGTATTAGTTTTGCTTACAGTTGCTAGTTGTATTAGTTTTGCTTACAGTCAGTGCGATCATGCCTGCGGTGACACCAATTTTAAAACCTTTCCCAAGGTATTTGCCGCTAAAATAAATATCATGAACAGATGAAGGATTGATCCCTTTCTCTATATGATTTACCTTTACATATCAATGAACAAAAACTTTAGTTCTATGTGAATACAGTCATATTCTGAAATATTCAGAATGAGGATGGAACTTCAAGTTCATATATACTTACAATTTCTACCCCTTGCTTATCTGCGCGCGTTATGAATACGAAAAAAGTGGACAACACGACGGATATCAATGGAGCAATTGCTGGCACCCAGAAGAATTTGTTGTTCTTCTTTCCCTAATCAACACAAGTTGAAATTAATATTAGAAAAAACTTTGTAGTCCTAACTATTTAAAAGATAATAGTAAGATGAAAAAGGGAGTTTAATGTCATACGATAAACTTGGCGAGCAGAAGAAAACACAAAAAGCTAGCTCCGATTAATATAGTGTGCCAGTTCCACTGCAAGATGGTAAATATTAGATCATCGATAGTGCATATTGAGAGAGTGAGTGAGAGAGAGAGAGAGATCATACTCCATGTTTGGCTGATGCGAACACTGAATGCAGCACGGAGACAATATCAGTTTTTGTTGTGAACATTTTGCTTTTAATGCCAAGGAAACCCTTTAGCTGTTGAAGGCCAATTGTGATGGCAGCACCTCCCATAAAACCAACAATAGCAGCATGGGATAGGAAGTCAATCAAGAATCCTAACCTGTTGTTTTCGACATAAAAAAAGAAGAGAACCAACATAACTATAAGATCATCATGATATATTTGTAATACATGTATATCCGGTGTGCTTTGTAGGTTATACCTGAAAATCCCAAGAGTTGCTTGTGTAATCCCAGCGAAAAACGTGGCTGTAAAAGCAAGTCTTTGATATTCTGCTTTATGAGTAACGGGATCAATCTCATTACTAAGCAAAGTCCCCATCAAGAGAGAAACCACTGCCACCGGTCCTATTGCTATATCGCGAGAGCTCCCCATGAAGGCATAAATCAGCGGCGGAACAAAGCTCGAGTCTGTAAAACGGTAGACCAAAAACTAACTAAACTTCAGTTCAACATCCGAAATTCCAAAAACAAAACTCGGGATTTGAGACAAAAGTCTTACACAGTCCATACTGCGGATCCAAATGCGCAAGCTTCGAGTATCCAATATCCTATTTCTCAAACCAAGTATTAGAACATAAACTCTGAAGCAACTAACATGAATCATAATCATGCATTAGCATAAAAAATTTACCTGAGGTATGCAAAGACTTGCAATAGTGAGACCAGCAATTATATCTCCCCTAAACTTCTTAAGATTATAGCCTCTCCCCCAGTTAATAATTGGGAATATGGCCTCAATACAAAGAACTAGCTTTCTTGATTTAGTTTGGTCTTTGAAGGATCTTAGAGGATCATCAGCAAAGAATGTTTCTTTAACAGTATATTGGAATTCCTTGAACAAGTTCTGTTTTGGAGGAATTGCAACTTTGTATGCATTTGGTGTTTGTGCTTCATCATCTAAAGGCGATATCTGGTTTCTTTCTGTATCTTTATGAGTTGGAGAATCCATTGGAGATATCAACAGTGACCTTCACTATGTTATGTTATAGAGAGAAAAGTCATAACCAGTGATGGCAATAAAGTCTAACTGTAACATTAAATTAGAATATGATATGGTTCATAAATATTGCATGCAAAGTCTACCATGTTGCTTACACCTCAACTAGATAGTTCATAAATGAAGCTAATCAAAGATATAATTATATAGACCGACTCGTAACTCTAAGAAACTCATGGACCACGTCGTCCATTGGATCGAGCGTGTGACTTAATCGGTGTCATCAGTTCAACAAAAACAATGTTGGAATATGAGTTGAATTTTTAGGCATGCATATCTGTTTTTGTTCAACTAATATTCAAGTACCAGACCGAGTTGAAACACTTCAAATTTTCCTAAAATAAAACCATACATAGAGAAATAATACCTAGCAAACCTGAAGAGAAGATTTGAATGGTCACTGGTTCAATCTGGTTCAATCTGTAATACAAATGCTTTATTGTGAAGCTATTGGATTATATAACATGAATGATTTTATCTTCGAGTCAATGTTCTCAAGCTCAAATTGAAAACTTAACAAATTAATGTGTGAAACGTATCCTTATACTTGTCAAACTTATGCATTCGCATAATTTTCAATCACTACCAAACAATAATGGTCTCGTCTATTAGCTTGTTAACTCTATTTTTTTTGTCGTCTAGTAGTTTGTTAACTCTTTTTTTATAATTTTAATAGTCAAATGACTGAAATTTATTCTTTAAAAAAAGGTAAACAAATAGGATGAATTTGCGTCTTTGCATCGGATGTTCCTGTGTAAATACCAACTGAACTATTTTAACATGATAATAATTTGTTAACTCTAACTATATACAAAGAGTAGGACAATCAATAATGTAGGGCTTTGAAAACCACAAAGTCTTGAAGTTTGAAAAAGTGAGACATCAATTAAATCTAAGCAAGTCAATAACAATCATTCATTTGAAATACCTAATATACTATGTAAGTTTCCTTTGTCAAATCTCAGGACCAATAATTTTGATGGAGAAAAAAATCTACAAGGAAGACAAATATATGTCTAATGTTAAGTGTACAATAAAGAAAATCTCATAATCATGTTCATATTATGGGTCACTGATTGTGATTTA